TAACCGTATCATACCAGTTTTACTAACACGGAACTCACTGAAATCTTTTGTGGTCCACTGCTGTAAGACAAGAATGAGGCCACGGTATTCTGAGGATATCCACCAGTATTGTGAGCAGTCCAGTCACACTAGAACTCTTGACATTATTACTTTTCCAATTATGAGCAGATGGTAGAGACATTCAATGTTTCCTCTTTGAGACAGTGAGAAAGATCCCAGAGGGCTTACATACAGAATAGTTTATAAAGGAAAGATAGGCTATAGTATTTTACACACCCTTTCAGACCTAGGTATGCACGGGAAAAGCTTTGCAGCTAGCCACAGTAAAGTGAAATTTCAGGGAAGGGAAGGAAATCAGGAAAACCTTGGGTCCTCAAAATCAACATCCACAGTATCTACTGAGAGTAAGAGTGGACTTTCCAATAAGGGTATATTGCAGGAGAGGTTTCCATCATACATTTAGTGTGTTCCTACAAGATGGAAAACACCCATGCTATTGCCGCAAACCATAGTCTACTTCTGTCAGGAAGAGGCCCAACAAGTGGTGGATCGAACAAGAATGCAGGATAAGTTCTTTTGAGAGGAGGGAATCTTTGTTCTTTTTGTAGCACCTCACACATCCAGTTTCCTTACCATGGCTTCTAAGCATTGTGGCAATATAAGTAAAGAATAACAATACTAGTCAGTGTGTTGAGACATAACTGATATTCCTAAAAGGCTGTTTATGTCATCACAGTAATCAACAACAGGTTGACAAGCTATGTGTGTGCATTCATAGAGATGATTCTTACACAACCAACAGTATATGCTTACCAACAGGTCGTGTGTGCATACACATATATAAACACAGCTGTGTAAAAGAGATGCTTTAACACAGAAAGAAAAAATAGAACAGGAATTAATTTCGTATCACAGGATTATAAATCCCCACGATTCAGTTAACTTTTTACCCTCCATAGTTATCTTGGTTTTCAGAGACAAGATAGTTACTTCCTTAGCTTACCTTGGGAGCTTAATTTTAGCATTCAAGAAGCAAAACACTGACATAAAAGTATTTCATTTAATTTGCAGCTACCATGAAATTCAGCCTAATGGGAAAGAACATGAACTATTTAAAGTGTATTTTAAGTATGAATAATTTGCCTGTTCCTTTCTATATCAGTCAACCAGAATCACCACATGAAACAATGCATTCTTGTATCTTTCTTCCTCTCTCTTTCTCCTCCTTACTCTTTCCTGTGTTCCCTTTTCTTAACTTGACTAATGGTGATTTTTCACTGTTAAATCCTCTTGAATCAGAAGCAGAACCACTGCTAAGTCTTAACAAAAGCATTGTACTTCATCTACTCAGGGGAAGCTGCCCTGAGAAGCAATGCATGGATTTGTTCCATTTGATAAAACAAGTTAATATTTCCCTTGCTGTAAGAGAAAATCAAATGTATAGCCTTTGCTCAAGGGTTAACCATACATTTCTCAGAAAATACGCTCAGCAAAACAACGCTGACCTGTAGCACTTAAGATGTACTTGCCTTCACCGACTCTTTTTGCAGTCCTCTAGACAACCATTTAACATAGAGGCTTACACGCATACAGAGATTTTACCTATCTTTTAGTGTCTCAGTTTACCTAAGTGTGGTTTTTTAAAGCTGTATTATCTATCTAGCGACTTTACTGAAACCATGAGAAAGTAATATTAAAGGCTAAAATTCTGCTTCAGATTTAAACATACATTTTCATGAGAACCAAAGAATTTGCCCTACTGAAGCCAAAGATAGTCATAACCTGTGCAATCACTGCTGCCACTTCCAGGGGTTATATGACTGGAGTCCTTTGTACCAAAGAAATTTAAGTGACTTTTCTGTCACCTGATACTTCTCTTTTTATCATTAATTAAACCCTCCACAAAAATTTAAAATAACTCCATCACAAAGACTTTACTTAAGGCTACAGGAGCCAGGTTTACGTTTACTCTAAAAGCTGCATCTACACAGATAATCCCACAGATTGCCTTTCCATTAAGTACCACAGGTCATTTGGACTAATAATCTCTATCACTCTCTGTGCAGCTTTATATAAAATCTCATAGGTAATCCTTTCTATGTAATGTTCTCTCTAGATAATCCAGCCTAGAGTGAACCAAGATGGTTAACAAAATCTTGTATGAGACTGTTGAGGGAAGTATGTTTGAATACTGTCTGGACTTTGATTTTGGACAGTTCTTGTCAGAAAAGAACAGGGAGGCACAGTACTGTTACTTCAACAACTATTACATGAACATAAAAGCACTTGAGATAGAAGAGTGACAACAGTCATTAAAAAATATTAAATTTTAACCTAATGAATGCATCTTTAATTTGACAACTTATCTTTTTATAAGCACGTAGCTGAAAAGAATAGAGGCTTTAGAAAATAACAACTAAGCATAGAATTCTGGCATACAGGAAGCATAAAAGGCAAGCGTGCCTGGCTCTGGCACCCTTTGTCTCCTAGCTAGAGAAATTAGCAATGGCTAATGGAAATCAGTAGCCTTAAGAAAGGAGTATGATCAGGTATCAGCAAGTCAAGATGCCAGTGCCCCATCTTCCTGAAATGGGACAGTCATTCTGATGATGACCCCATTGCCCTGTGAACTTCAAAAATGCTCAGTTCTGATAAATACAGCTATTTTCAAGGTAGAGATAATAATAGTAAATTATTTGATAGGATATAAACAATGACTAGTTCAGTTTCATAGTGAGAAATAATCGGTATTATTGTTATATTTCAAAATATATTAATTTATTTGTATGGTTGCATTTTTTCAGGAAAAGAAGCTAAGGTTTGAAAGGGGAGTTTCTATCAAGGCAGCCTGCCAAAGGCTGCTCCATAAACCCACAAACACAGACAAGAAACTAATCTAGTTAAAGAGTTACCTTGATATGCCTTTTCCTTCATCTGTAATATGAAGTCTATGAATTTTTAAAAAAGCTATTTTTAAACATTTCAGTAATTTTTATTATAACACTTCTATAATACAAACTTTCAAAATGACAAGACAAGAAAAAGAGCCCATCAGCTGGGCAAATACTGTTGCCACAGAGTAAATAGGTAAAACAGTGACAGTTTTGGAACATGCATCTCAGTGCTCCCTGAATTGGAAAATTTTATATTAATAAAATCAAGAATACATTTACAGTGCATAAAGTATGCACATAAGCGGTTTCCTGAATTGAGGCCTGACTTCTTTGTCCACGGTGTCATTATAAGTAAATAGCAGAATCCAGCTTTTTGGCACATTAGTTCTACAAAACATGAGTTAGTGGGAAACACTATATGCAGTAGAATTGAGAATAAGATGAAGAATACAGAGCAAATAGAAGACAGTTAGCAGGGCCAGGGGGCATACAGCACCCTTGAAATCTTAGATTTAAATATGCCTTAAGTCATGACTGAAATAATTTGGTTGGTTTCATCTGAGCGGCTAACAGAAGAGGCTTGTTCATATCATTATACTGCAAGAGAAGTGTTTATATCTGCCAGGCTTTGTTCCAGAGAGAAAAGTGGCAAATAAATGCATATTATATATAAATACATAAGCAGGGTAGGAAAAAAAAGTGTGCAATGATAGACAACAAAATATTCTCCTGATCTGTCTTACTATCATTGGAGACTCTGATAAACAACCGTAATTCACAGTAAATTATGTTTATAAATTAATGAAACCTTGATGATATCCTTCTCCGAGGAGAGAAGTAGAAGTAATCCCCTCAGTCCTTCTGTGTGGGAGAGCCAGAGAAATGAACAAACCAGCAATATATGAAAGGAAGACTAAAGACATCAGGGTCTTAGATGCTTCTGGCCTAAAGCAGTAATAAATCCTTCACCATCTTTGCAATGCTGCACCTGCCATAACAGTTACAAGGGGGAAGAAGATTATTAGCTGTGAGTTAAAGCATCCTTTTATAACAACCTTTAGTGTAATTACAGGGATAGCCTTTGTTTTCCATGGTTCAGTTGTCTGGCCCCAGGAGTGCTGGGTTAACTTGAGGTTGAATTACATGCCTGTTTGGGAGTTGGATCTGCTTGGTGTTCGTAGGTGAGCCCCGCTACCATAGCATGCCTCTCAGTTGTGTTGATATAGTTGTTTGCTCTAGAAACAAGGCCTGGGGACCGATTCTGCATCTGCTCTAGGAGCAAGGCGAGGGTGCCCATTCTGCTTCCAGAATAAAATTGTTGTGGGGATCACACACCAGTTTTATTTACACAGTGTGCTTCACACCATAGCCAGAAAAAGTTGTGGTGGCTGAACTCAGACAATAGTGCTCTACCAGATGAGGGACAGGAATGATTAAGGCTGGCGTTGCTTTCTGTGTGCCTCTGCTAGTGAAGCTGCAAGTCTGTTACTAAACAGAAACAGCCGTTCTGGGGATTCTCCCAGGAAAGAGAAATGTCAGAGCTGACACAATGTTTGCAGTAATAAGCTGTGTTGGCAAAATTCTTGTAGATGTCACCAAAATGTAAATGAACTCCACTGACTCAGGGAAACGATCTCCAGGAGAAAGAGACAGAACGTATTTGCATTTAGCAGGGGATTACAAATATCATTTTTCTCTCTCCTTCTCTCAGACTGAAACTGTTGGCTCAGTGTCAGCAGTGCAGAGGTGCATTTCTCTTTCTTGAAACTAGTTTAATAACGAAAGAATAAAGCGTGCATCCCTGGGCTTATCAGCTAGCTCTTTTTCACACATACTTTGCTGCAGGAATCCTGATTCTCAATACTAGGAATATAGTATATGATGCAGTACAGCAGAAGCGTGTGGAAGCACATAACTGGTACAGAAACAAAGAGGTCAGTCAATGAAAATACAAGACAGATTCATCATTTCGGTAAGATACAGTGAGGTCAGTCCACAAGGTTTTGTTGGGCTCCAAATGTTTTCTTGCCCCAAGTGTTATGCTGGAGATAGTAGTCAGCACAAGCTTTGCAAAGTACTACAGAAACCCCGTTCTGGAAATACTCCATGGAACATGAGTTAGCAAGAAGGACAGAAAGTTTACCTGATGAAAAATGCATGAACAAGACAGGTATAATGCAACATCTTAATTTTTGGTGTCTAGAGAAAGGAAACATAATCAGGATAAAAACAAAATACACAAAGATAGTACAGAAATGTTACTTACATTTCCTACTTTGAGGAATATAAAGCAAAATATGAAAAACCTAACTGACATGAGTGCCATCCTTGCACCAAATAGCACAGTAAGAGAGAGCACTGCAGAAGAGATGAAAGCATCAAGGAAACGGAAAAAAAAAAACCAAGCATGTTACCATAGCAAGTCTCTTTTTCCTATTTTCTATCTTCACATAACCCATGTAATATTCATTAGGAGTAATCGCTCAGCTTAAGGAAACAGTGTGCTGGTAATTCATCCCTCTTCCGCAGGCCATAGAAAGTGCAGGAAAAATACGCAGAATTAGAACATGACAACACCGAGCGTAAGACATAGACCATGTGCCACAGAGAGTGTCAGGTTTAAGTTAAATCACAAATCAGTTCAAGGAACAGCAGAGTTAAGGTGTTGCCCTTTTGGTTGTTGACTTAGAAAACATGTTCATTTAAAGCACCACTCTATTCAAATGCATTGGTGTATCAGTTCACAGCCTCAATGCAACCAGCTGTCCTCAGAAGACCGCAATGCAATTTGAACACTGCCGGCCCTTTCAGCAGGCACACAATAAAGTGTTCTTCTGACAAAATTGGATCATACTTGTAGTAATAGAGGTCAGCATGGGATTTCATGACTAAACAAGCCAAAAAAAGAGGTCACAGTCTGGATGTGCTAAAATTGTGCACGTTTACTTTATAATCTGGTGCTTGAGAAATTGACTTGTCTCATGAGAGATGCTGACATCCTCAGGATTTGGTGTTGGGTAACGTGCTACTCTTTAGCACTAATAATATGCCTCCCCTTGAACTTGACCTTGAAAAGGGAGCAAGCATTTAGACTTTAGATGCCAAATTCCTGATACATCATCTGTTCTACTAGAGCACAAAAAACTATGTTGGATATATAGGCAGTAGATGTTCAGTCATGTTCAGTCCATAGCACTGCAACATGCAGCAAGCACCATGTCCTCCCCCCTGTGTACGATACTATTTTATCCTGACCGGGGGCGAACACAATGCAAAATAAATGCACAGATTTTCCTTCTGTAACCTACCAAAAGCCAGATGACCTGTTGTATAGGGAAACCACAATGCCCTGCCACATGTTACTTAGCAAAATGGGGTGCCTGCAGCATCAGAGTTACATGGAGATAGTTCTGCTCTCAAGCCACTCCTTTTAGCAGTTGTTTCATCCAAGTCAGAAGGGAAGAGATGGGCAAGAATCCTGCCTCCTCTGTAGTTATGAGGGACAGGCAAACTGGCATTCACCAAATGGCAGTAAAACATGTCTTAAAGTCAGCATCTCTCCTACCACTTTATGGAAACATGAAAACCTTAAGCTTCAGTCTGCTAAATTGCAGTGAAAAAAGCCTAATTTTATCAGTAGAAATTGCCAGCAAGAATGAGAAGAGCTCTTTATTAAAGGATGATAAGTGAAAGCTAAGATTAAGGCTGACATTAGGCAAACTGATTTCATATTAATCTTGATTTGGGATCACAGCACAGCAACTATTTGTGATAATAAGTTAATATACACATTTGTAGGAGGCAGACACTGTTTTTATCCATTTGATGTATTCATATTACATTATCTTGAGTAAGAATCCAAATGACAGCATTCATAGAGTAAATAAGACTAGTGAAATATTCCATTAATTCAAAGACATCCATCACAAATGTCACCACATCCCTACCATAGAAAGAGGTTCTATACAAAGGTTACATACATACTGATGGGGCCCACAGCTGCAACCCATTCCTCCCCCCCAGGCCTCTGAGCCCCAAATAGCACACTGCAGCCAGGACTGCTTTTCATCATAAAGCAGCTAATCCTTTTAACCCAGTCCTTGGCCAAACTGAAAAGGCTAGAGACTGAACTTGCTGCACCTTTTTCATGTCCACCCTGAACAAGCTGTTCTGTGCAAGAGAGACAAGGTCCTCATTTAAGCAATTGAAGTTCACAGCTTCCATGTTGTCTCAGGATTCACTTGGTTCCCTCATTCAGCAGTCACACAGAGTGGTAACCTTTGGCGGAGGCCTCAGGTTTCAGCTGTGTGTCTCACGAGACTTGGGACAGGTGACCTTTGGAGATCACTGGGGTGAATTGCAGCCCTGGGGTTCAATCATGGTGGTTGTTACTTGGTTCCTTCTAAGAGCCATAACACTTTTTCACAGGAAAGGACCAAATTTTTACTGCTGTTCAAAGCTTTGTGACTCTGCTGCTGTTGGAAGGGATTTTCTCCAAGTCTTTAATTGCAAGGTCATTATAAAGATAGCATCCAGCACAGATGACACATCCCATTGTATTTTACTAGGATTTGATATTTCTTTAGTAACCCTGGAGCACCATTTTTCCCCTTTTATTACTTTCAGTGCTACATCACTTTCATGAATAAGCCTTTTTCAGAATAGCATTCCCTTTCCTCCAGCTCACACATTGAGTTGTATAAAATCACAGCTATTTTCATGCTGTCAGTTCCTTCACAAAAAAAGTCGTTGTCTGCTAATGCAAAGAACATAAAATTTCAACTTGCTTTTAATTTTTGAATGTCTTTTAATCTGATTGTTCCCACATAAGAAAATTAAGATGTTCATATATTCACACCAGAATTGAAGTAGCAGTGTATCCAGCTATCTCATGCAAATATTAGTCCACATAAGAGCAGGTGCTTACAATTTGCAGATCTAAGTTTAGCAGTCTCTTTGAGGTGGTGATAAATTCTTCTAATGTGAACTCTTTATATTGCCCTCATATTTAAGGACATTCTGAGTTCTGCTGTATTCCAAGACTATACTGTAACATATTCCTTTTTAGGAGGGAAGAAGTATGTTTAGTTAATTTAAATAGAAGCACCTTAACTGGCCACACCATTCCAGTGGTTCCAGGTTAAGACATTGTCAAGGGTGCTCTGTGGGTATTGCCGAAGTTCCAACCTACATGCAATACAGTTCATTACAAAGGGATTTATAAAACCTTTGTAATTCAAAAATTAATCAACTTTTTCATAACGTGTAACTATTTAAATGGAGTCTAATCTAAGAAACTGTGCTTGCAGGAAAAGGCGAAGTTCTTGTTCTAGTCTTACTCCACATCTTTCTATTATTCTCACTCAATCTCACTCAGTAGCAATGCAGAACAATGCACACTGCCAGTTTCTGTTTCCTTTAGAATTATATTCTTTCTTTTTTAAACCCTCTTTGAAAATAATATATAGCTGAGTTTTAAGAACTGAGAGGAATACCCACAGCCTAGACTTCTAACTGCCTGGAGAGAAAGTGGTGCAGCATATTCAGATGTTTCTCAGGGCATCTGCAAGTATCAGTCCTTAGCATATGTCTACATGGCAGAATACATTACATGTACCAAGCAGCCCCTAGACACTGCGTAGCATATATTTGGAATGGTGTTTGGCTGTATGGCAAGTCCTGTACTCCAGTTTACCGATCCTCTAACCAAACGGGTCTTCTAGAGTAAGCAACAGGGATTTTAAAGAAAGGGATTTTTTTTCTTCCCAGTTTTTCAAATAGTAATGTTTGAGTAATTTAATTGATACAGATCTTTCAGTGTCCTTGAATTTTGGTGGTTCCTTTAGCAACAAAGAGACTAGGTGATTGAAATCATCCTAAGAATCAATATCTGTTTTGCTATTATTGACATTCCTGCAGCTGCCTAAGCACAAATCCTAGTCCTATTCAGACAAAATCTGAAGGAATGAAATCACTTCTTAACAGTATGAGAAAATGCCTTGATTTATGCAGGCAGATACTGCTGTAGATTTTACAGATACAAATGATAATCTAAGTCATACTATAGGTTTCGTATACTCTGAGACATCAACACCATAATTCATATGAAAGTGCATAACAACACTGAAAAAACATTTTAATTATTTAAAAAAAAAAAACCTCAAGTCACCTTGAAAGAAAGATTTTTGGATTCCAGCATTTGTTAACAGGTTTCTATCTTAGCACCCAGTTCCTTACATAAAGAGCTAGATCTGTATTTCAGTTGTCATTATTTTCTAAGCAGTGAATGTCAATCATTCCTCTACATTTTTTTTTCTAGTAGATTACTATTGTTGAAGCTGGAGATGAGTATGGAAAATGAAACAGGATTATTTTGATAGGAAAAATCCTAAATAAGAAGCAGCAGAGATAAAATACAGAATTATTTGCCAATTGCAATTTTTTGAACCTTTCCCTCTCAGAATAAAAATGAACATCATTGTATTGCTACATTTTTTCAAATTCTATATGAGAAGCTTATGTGCCAAAATACCGGAGTTTCTCACAAGAAAAAAACAAAATTATTGCTCTTGCCCCAGTCAAATCACTACCAACCTAAGCTGTATCGGAGCTTATGAAGGTAACTTTACTTTAATGGGTAAAATAGGATTCTCATCATACTTATTTACAAGCACTAATACAGAGTTTCTGAAAAGTGTAATAGGGTCAGGTTCTGCTTATAAAATTGTATTAGTTCAAAGTTGTTTGTATATGAGAAAATACGGGAAGAAATATATTGTCCATCACAATAGTGGGCTGTTATACTTCAGAGTGATTTGTTTCACTGCAGTGGTATTTATCATGTTGATAAAATAGACCATGAATCTGAAGATTGGAAGATTTTTCCTGCTAATTTGAAACAGCACCTATACATGCTGCTGTGACATCAACATAATACCCTAAAGCCACAGCATCTGCAAAGATTTATTTTCTGAGCCCTTATGCAGCCACACTCTCTTTGCTTCTGACATTCTCAATTTGCAGGCTGCTGGTGATCCAATCTTATTCATTCTGGCTCTATAATAAGGATGTCAATGCAAGAAGAGAAAAGTCATTATCTGATAGCCAGCAGACATGATAAAAAGGCAGAGTTAGATATCTCAGAGGAAAGGCCACCCTTTCTGCCTTGGA